ATTTCTAATGTATGTTCTGGTAAAATGATCAAACGGTGATTTTGGGAACTGAGCCTGTACACTCCTTGTTTTCCAAATAGCACTGATCCCTCAAAATACATCCCAGTCCCTTCTACAGACAAGGGCATCCTGTCTGGGGACAATCAAGTGCCTACAAGAATCTTAAATGGCCTTAAATTTAAGGCACTCTGTTTCATTAGCCTAAAGTTCTTAATCATCTTTTAGTTGTAGTTACACTCTAAAGGAAAAAACCTTTCATCTGAAGTGTGCTCTGCCAGAGGACAAAACCCGAAACTCCGCCAAAAAGTAAGCCCTGAAGTCTCTTTTCTGCCCATTAATGGTAGCATTTGCCCTCTTGTACTAATTGCACGAGAAACAGCAGCATTTCAGTATGCAAAACTGAAAGCAGATCTCCAAAGACAAGTTTCCTGAATGAGAAGGGAATATACTTATTGAAGTTATACCTTAAAACTTCTCTGTACCTCAGACTTCTTTAAAAACAAAAAAACCCCACCCCAAATCTGAAACCCCAAAGAAGCCAGGAACTGAAAGGCGAGCTGGAATCGAGGTAATTTGTAAGAGCCTTCAGGCTGCCCTGGTGTTTGCAGCGGAGCAGAAGCACGCTTGTCTGCTTTTCAATAAGCTGGAGCTGTCAGAGATGCTGAGGATAAATTGTCAAGCCACGACTGTCCTAAACAAACGTGATGTTCAGCTGAACGCTGCGGAGGGAGTTTCTTCCTTTGCTGCAGTTACTGCCTGCATTAAGTTGATCTAATATGCACGGGCTTGAAGCAAGACACAGCGTCCCTATGTGCACCGCAGAGCAATCATCCCTGCAGAAGGCATCTCTTCCCCACCATTCTCTCCCACTCATCCCCAAGGCTTCCATAAACAAGATGGCTCCTTGCCTGTATCACGCTCATGTACCGTAAACATGACCTGACCCACATTATCCAGTTAAATACATCTTATTTAAAGCTCAGTTTCTCCCCTGCCCTTCCTCCCACGACACATTTATCACAAGGTGGTGCAAACAAGATTCCCCAATGGATTTTTGATCCCTTCTCCTCTTGGCCACTTCCCAAAGTTGCCTGTAAAGAGTCTCAGGTAACCCAAGCATTAGGTAAGGTCTGCAACCTCAAGAAAGTGCCACGTTAGGGGAGACGAGTTACCAGCAATGCTAAAATCAAACACAAGCATTAAGAACTCATCAGAATTTCAGGCAGGGGCTGGAGCTGCTTCGCACATGTTCTGCTTACTCGTGTTGAGAGACAACAAACCAGTTGATTTCTCAAGATATTTCACTCGGTTTGCAACAGTATTTAGCTCTATATTTTGTAATATTACATACTCTGAAAACGAAATTCAATCCCCAAATCCTTCTAGTTGGTTACTCATAAAATCCATTAAGTTCAGGCACAAGCAAACCAGACTCATCTCTTTCCCTCCCAGTGCCTATTACATATAAATAGTAATTATTGTTCCTGGCAAGGCTCTAGTGTGTCTTATGATTCTGTACTTTAACAACCTGATTTCTTAGTACTTTCCACTGAAGAATACATTTAACAAGCATCCATGTTTCCTCCTCCATGATAGGATTTTTAAATTATGAATGTAATAAAGACAAAGATGTTGCCAGTCTCATGATGAATAGCTTAAAGAGACATTTACTAAGCCTTCATTCCCCCCATTACCACAAATTCGCAAGCTGTATAGCTTTGTAAAATTCACCAAAGACAGGATTTAACTCTATAGTTACACAGTTAAATCCACAAGCAATACAAGAAGGGCATTAATTTAGTTTGATCTAGAAAAGCAATTTAAGCCCTACCTGTTCTGTTGACAGATTTGTGTTTTTTAAATGCCGCCTTAGTAGAAAGTGTCTAATGCAAGATTTCCACCCTTATTTATGTAATATGTGACATCTCCAATCTTGTATGTTGTCACAGCTCAAACCACAGTAAGTTACATCACTGCGATGCTATGGAACAGAGAGCATCATTAGCGTACAGTTCAGAGTTATTGAACTAATCAACTAGAGAGGCTTCTCCTAGTAACATAGATCCCAAAACAAGCTGCTACAAACATTCCCTCAACCATCACATCAGTGGCTTTTAAAATTAAAATGAAACCAAACTGCTGAAAGAAAACAGGGTTTATGGAAAAACTCTATTTTATTATTTCACAGGAACATGGGCTTCATTCGATGCAAGAAGACACCCACAAAACACAGTTGTTGCTTGGTGGAGTTAAGTCTATGTCACTTCCCAAGGTTTAAATTTCCACACTGACTTGAATAAATGCTACAGTAGATAATGCCAATCAAAACTCTGAGAAAGTAAAGATAGGTTAAGCATTATGCTAGAGATTCAACACAAGCCAGCAACTCTTTGCCAAGCCTGTCTGGCTCGGTAATCAGTGCAAGTGAAACATTCAAAAATATCACCTTCACACTCAAGAGGGCCAGGTAAGAACAGAGCAACAGCAGATTAGATAGCACAAAGGTCCAGCCTCCATTCTGCAAGTACCTAACAGCTCAGCAATAGGTACCTCTCTACTTACCTTGCAGAACCAAGGCCACATTTTGCATTTTTTGATTTGTATCAGCTGCACAGTCCTTTTAAACTATAGATTAAAGCAAACAAAATGGAAACTAATAATTTATTTCCAATTGTGGTTAAGGTTTATTACAACTCAGGTAGCTTAAATTCGTCACGCACGAGATGGAGGCTTCACCAGTTCTGGGACTATTTGTATAAATCAGCACAGCGAGACAATCTATTTGGAACAAGTCGTGAAATTTAAGCATCAGCCAAACCAGTTCAGAATGATTTATGAAATTCTGAAGATCACATTAATGGAATTGCTAACAGCCATAACTACATCCACATAAATGTGCCTCTCATAATAAAAACACTCTACAAAGTTCTGAATGTTTTAAGAACTGGTAAAATGACTACAGATTATGGAGTCCATCTCCTCTAAGGCATCAAAGACATTCTCAAGGAGGAGTTAATTAGTCCAGTTTCACAGGATACACCATTACAGAGTCTGAGATTCTGACTGCCTGTGATTAATTTCGACCCTGCACCAACATACTTTGCTTACATAAGCTCTGTTTTCAATTTCCCCTCCTTTTTTGCAGAGGCCTCTCACTGGTGTGTTCACAGCTGGAGACTCAAGTGCAACTCCTCTGTGCTGCCCCATAACCAACTGGAACACTTGTCAGCAAACCTCTAGATGACAAAAAAGCACATAAGAAGTACTTTCCAACATGCATGTTTCCCCACCCTGTTCCCCCATTCACAAGGCAGCAGATTCGAATGCAAGCCCCTCCTCCCCTCAAACGATCTGGTACACATATGCACTTCCTTCAAAGCATTCGTGTTCCTGTTAAACACAAAGTTCACAGAAATACTGTGCTTTTAACTTATGCCACTGATAAACAGATCATGATTAAAGACTCCTCCCAATCTCTCATACGAAGGAAAATGGATTCCTACCAACTAGTAGCAGGCACCAAGCTTCAGGAAAGGACTTCCTGTGGGGTCCAGCGCTCCAGCACATTCCCATGCAACGAAAAATGTCCACCAACAAGGCAACTTCCACAAAAAATACGGGTCTTCCTTGGAGACACTGAGTCTCCCAGGCTGGTAGACTGTCACAGCATACCTTTCAAGCTTCCTTATCAAATAGCTTAAGTTCTGAAAAGAAAGGCAACTTGCTTATCCAGTTTCCTTTCTGTATTTCACTCCCTTTCTGCAGGGAGTCTTGCTTGAGGATATAGCTTCACTTGCATGCATCCAAAGTTGGCACTGCTTTCATGCCTCTTCCTGGTCACTCAATTCTCCCTCTTTGTTCATGCTGGTATACACATTCAGAGACAAGTTACATTGAGGTGAGAACTCCTCTGTACTCAGGGTTAAGAGCAGCCTTCTGGTCGGGGTATAGTTTTAGCCTGGATCAGTTGAGCTGGTCTCACCACATGGCAGCATAAGCATTTGGACCATTCATGTGACAGCAGAGCAGAGAGAAGACAAGAATGGCAGCACTGGCTTACATGTTCTACCCTAGCGCATGAGAAACTACATCCCAAATTTCAGTTTTCATGGAAGTCACTCTCCACTGCCTGTAGTCACTCACACCAAGAAGGTGCTGCTGTTTGTATCAGTAATACTTCAGTGAAACACAAATAAACCACGTGCTGTGGGGTGCTCTGCAATTGTATGTTTAGCCTGCCTACGTCTTAAGGTTCTTTCTGATTCAATAAGTTCCTTGTTTAAATTATCTAACCAAGTGCTTAAGGCCTTCCTTATCTTGCTAAATTAAGCCAGTCCTTGCCAGCTGCCATCAAGGGGAAGTGGGAACACACAAGGATATGGCAGGACCTCCTTCTCTAGCACAACACAACATGCACATGCCTCCACCTCCCGGCCTGACTGCGCTTGGCACTCCCTCACTTCTGCCTGCTCTCTCCCGTAATCTAGGAAGGATTTGCACCTGGTTTAGCTCAAGTCTGAATTAATTTGCAACACAGGGAAGTCAAAGTGGTTTTCCTCCATCAGAAGTCAGGGCTATGGACAGACACAAAGTGAAGCTGTGCAACAGATGATGTTTAGCATGGAAAATAGTTTTCCTCTGGGCTCACTCCTTTATCTGGCAGAAAACCACAGCGAAGACATTTGCTGGTGTAGCAGTCCCATACAACAGTCTCTTCAAACAAAAGTAGCTCTCTTCAGCTAGGAGCACATCACAGTTTATAGATTAAAGGGAAAACCCAGAAGACTCAAGATCCTCTGCTCTCACTCATCCCTGCCCAGGGCAGCAATTCTGCAAAGCTCCGTGCTGGACTCACAGCTTCCCGCTCCTCCGGAGCAGAATGACATAATGTTGTTATGTTTGTACAGCACCCACCACAAGTGCTATTATTCCCAACCAGACCCATCGGTGCTACTGAAGGCAAACAAAACTAGGGATGTTTGAGACAATCAAACAGCAGATGCAGCAGAAATGAACTAATTTATATTTGAATAAAAGCAAAAGCCAATGGGAGGTTAAAGACAACAAGCTTGAAGGGAATTCATTTGAAGACAGAGCTGAAGGGAGAGATGCCGAAATGGTACATTTCACTGCACACTATGGAACTGAGAAATGACTCAAAGCCATCTGAGATTTAAACAGTTACAGCCAAGGAGTTTATCTTAGTATCTAAGCTGTGACTCTTCAGGGCCAGCTTTATAATTCTCCTTAATACACACATCATGGAGACTTCTGCAGCATATAGGAACATACCATCAATCTGACTGACTGAACACCTTTGTACTTTTTATTATACAGACAAGTGCTGAAGCTTTATTTGTGCAAAGGCTGCTTTTTATCTATAGGGACAGGCTGATAATGACAGTTGGATAAACGTTAAGAGAACAAACTTTATTAGCAACTTGAACTATTTAAAAAAGGGGTCTCCACAAATTAAATCCATAGATGAGTTTAGCCACCCTAAAAAGTGGTAAATCAGTATTATACAGCCACAACAGGGACAATGGAACTATCAAATAGGTTCTAGCTGTTCTTTTTATGGCATTGATTTTTTTTGATACATTCAAAGCATTATTGCATCAGAAAACATATCATGCATCTTTATGTTTCCAGACAAATTCACCTGTATTTGTCATTTCTAGCTACATCTCAAAGGTGCACCAAATCTACAGTTTTATGGTTTTAGTTGCATGCTTTGCCTATATGCATGCTGAGATAATAAATATTAAATACAGGAAAGAACATAAGAGAATCAAACTGACATTAGGAATATTTTATGGCAGCTCTGTTATGTTCTGCCAGCTAAAGAGCTTGTCAAAAAATTGAGGTAACAACAGTGGCCACACCACTCAGCTGAGAATCACTCAAAATTCACTGAAGTTTTCAGAAATTCAAGTACACAAACACCAGCTGCAACTTGTCAGAAATGCCAGAGAAATTAGGTTGGCTGCATTTTATTAGTCTATTAGCTGGCGTTCACACAGCTCCTTGTAAATCCTTTTTCTCACTCGGGGCATATCTTCCTGGGAGAACTGAAAAGGCTGGTCTAAGGCGAGGCACTTGCAGTACTGAGGAAAAGGAAAAGTCTTGATTGAAAAAAAGTACATTTACTATATGAACAATACAGGACACCAATTTTTAAAAAGTAGTACTCTTACCTGGAGCACAAAAACCCCACAGTCACTGTCATTTTTCTGTTGTGGAATGCACTAAAAGGAAAAGAAACCAGAAGAGACATGTTAGACCTTTACCTATCCTTTTATTCTCTAACTCCTGCTTAAAGTCCAAAAGGAGATTCAGCATAACGATCAGTTACCTCGTTCTCAGAGCTAGCTGTTCTGCAGCACTAGAAACTGGAGTTGTAATTACTTATTCTGATCCCAACTTTTGCAAGGTGACACTCAACACCTTGTTAGAATAACATCTAACATTTAGAAAAATATATAGTGTAGGACAGAAAACAAATTACAAATCTTTCTTTCAAGTTTATTTTCTTTTAGTGACCTACACAGAACAGCTTCTCAATTAGTTTAAATAAATGTTTGTACAGCATTATCTACTTCACACAGGACCAAACTATATCAGCAAAGTCACATAGGCCTAGAGGAAGATTACTCTCAGCATCCAAGCTACCAGCAGTGGCTTTCCTCCCCCAGCCACACCAAAGGGTCTCAAAGAACACGAAGAGGATACATAGTCAGGTGACAGGACTGAGCAAGGCAGTCTCAAGGGTAACTTTCAATCTTCATTATTTCTTCAAACATGCTCAGTTTTGACATGCAGAGCTAGAAAGCCCCACTCACTAGTGCTGTTATGACTCTGGCATTTGAGGAAAAGTAATTCTTTTTCCTCAGCTCCCAGATCTTCTACCTCACAGAAGGCAGGAAGACAAACTCTGACCGCACAGGGTGTGCATGAGTGCAGAGAGGAAACATTTCATCATTGTACCAGCATCTAAAAATAAACTTGTGTGAGGAGGGAGCTGTTGGGAGTACATCTAGTGTGCAATGACCTGTTTTATATCTTTAGAGCCATTATGGGATGGCTACATATTCCCCTCATTTACACTACACACAAGTTATTCTCTTTTATTGTTGCCAGACTTTGTTTACTTGTGATCAAATGCAATGTGCCACAAACAGCCTTGGAGACCAAAGCCCTCTATTCATAGCAAATAAAAAATATAGACAGTAGCACCTGTTCTCTCCCTCACCAAATCCCACCCATTTGGCATAGTTCAAAACAGTCCTTTTGGTAGAAGCAAGAAAGCTGAGTCTCCAGCTTGTTCAGTCCTTGACCTTGTGCCAACATGGGCACCAGCTACAGGTTTTTGCTGCATGGATATTTAATTGTCCTGCGATTAGGCTCAGGTCACCAAGTCACTTGCAGAAAGTATTAAAGACCTGGTGGGAGCTGAATGAGCGACAGAGCTCTAATTCCCATGTGTAACCAACCACCTGTGTCACTCCTAGCACCCTCCACGTGGTCAGTATAAAACCACCTACTACTTGTACAAACATGGGTTTAGAAGCAGCCTCCTAAAATCGCCCAGATAGTCAGACTCTAGGGCTCAAAGTGCTGCCATTTACCTTTGTCACAGCAGTCTGCCAACCCTGAAGAAACTCGGGGCGATTCTTCTCTTTTGCTTCAGTCAGCAAATACTTTCGAATGTTCTTTAAAAAGGAAAGAAAAAAAAGCAGCAATATCATTCATCAGCTAAACGACAGGAGACAGACATTGACATCTTTGCTGGTATCCTTTTGACAATGAGGACAAATTTCAGGCAAGTATGAGGCATTAGGAGCTGAGCTCAGATCTGGAGGTAAAGAAATGAGCTCTGGTGGGTACTGTGCCTTCTACCATACCATCAAGGCTCATTTTGGTATATCAAGGGGAGTGTTAACATCCCTCAGCCCCACCGTACACTGGTATACTTACTACTAGACTAGCTGTGGCACTCAGGCAGATAGTCAGAGTGCTCTCAGACATGCAGAGACACACAGTGCAGTCTGGTATGTGTTCTCTCCCGGTTTACTTGGCTGACACCAAGACCCTGACGTTCAGTATGATAGCATTTTCCTGCCTGAGTCTCAATACAAAACACTGAGTTCTGTAGCGAATCAACAAAGCCCCAGGGAGAGTTTTAGTGACATACAGGAAAAAATAGTCTGACACAAGTGAAGAGAAGGAAGCAAGATAAATGAGCCTATGGTCTTGGGTTAAGCAAATCCTTCCACTTCTCTGCAAACAGGCTGGTGGTTTATAGCACAATTTAAACACACTCTAGCACGCTAACATTCACCTTAGTGGGTGGATCACAGTGGAGTTTTGGGTATTGGCCTCCTTCCCCTAGAAAGGGCAGGAAAAAAAAAAAAGTGTCTCACGTTTGTGAGACATTTGAGTGCAAATGCCTTGCCTGGAGCGGGATGGGAGAGGCCACGTTGCAAGACTGCAGGAGAGACTGTAGGGCTGCTGAGAGGGACCCCTGGTTTATGCTGCAAGTTCAGAAGCTGAAGAGCATGAGGTCTCTTGCTCCCAGAACAAACATTAGCTTCATCCTTAGCAAATGCCAGCAGGAAACTAGTATCTTCATTCAGAAGTCCTAGCTGGGAACTCTCCTGGGTACAATAATTACTACTCTTTTGTAAGCCAACAACTACACACAGTTAAAAGTAGAGGGCTGCTGCATCAAGCAAGCAATTAAGTTGACAAAATTAGCTTTTGTAAGAGGGTCATTACAATTTGCTAGTCCCAGCAAAAAATTCCTGGCTGCTCTTTACCAGGAAGACTGATAATTTAACTCCAGTGTTCAGGTTGCAGCTTCAAAAGGTTGTTGGGTTATAATCAGAGGTACACACCCCGTACCAATGCAGACAGAGGAAAAAGGCAACATGCTGTTAATAGCACAGTAACACGTGAACCCCACTGGGCAACACTACAGCATCTTCAGTCCTGTTCTCTCACCCAGGCAACCTCCCCCAGAAAGGACCACAATTTATCATTTCCTAAACACAAGTCCCTTAACAGGTAAAAGAACTGCCTTTACTCTCCTTCTGGCTAGTCTGCTTCCCTGCGGCACTTGGCTTTGAGCCCCTGCTTTTTGTGGGAGCGACAAGACAGAGCCACAAAAGGTATGCCGATTACATGGTCAGGCTCATCAGGCAACAGGCAATCTGACCTCAACTCCCAGCTCTGGTGTGACCCTTGAGGTCTGTGCTTCAGACTGCTCAACAGGACAAGCTGATTCTTATTTCATACATGGCAGGACAACAACAGACATGCTGCATTTAAAGTTTAAGGCTGAACAGAAAAAGGAGGGTTTTTTTGTTTAGTGAAACAGTTCAAACTTTGCAAACACAGCTGCCACTCTTACCTCTACACAAAACTTAAAATGAATGCCTTGGGAATCATAAAATGAAATAATTCGATTGGGGATGTTCACAGTAATGAGGGACCAGTGGACTTCCAGGTGAATAGGAATTAACAAGAGAGTCTTTTTGAACAAGTCCACCTGGCAAGAAGAACAATATATATTAGAGAGAATTCCACAGGCAGAACACAGCAAAGCAAGAGATAAATCGTATCTAAGCCTCCTCTCTGCCACCCCGTAACTGAAGTCTTCTTTTGCTCCCTCCACTCTTTCACCCACCACATTCCGCACGTTTATCTCATACACAACTTATTAGCAGGCACAAAAAAAAAACCAGTTGCAGCCCAGTAAGTGGCTAAGGAGCATTGTACAGTACCAGTTAGCCACCGCTGTATTTGTGGCAAACTCCTGCTCGTGTTACACTTTAACATCTGTGTCGAAGTGGGATTTCTTAAGCAATGATGGTAATACAATCGAGTCTCATTTTGGGTTAGCTATGTATTTTCAGTAATGACATTCCTGCAGTGTGAGGACCACTGATTTCTATCAGAGCTGCATCATGGACAGGTGACAGATGAAGCAGTTGTGACTACAAACGCCCCATAAACCAGCAAGCTGGTGCAGTTTTTGACTCCCTCTGCTGTAACACAGGCTCTATGACTTGTCAGAGGAAGGCAGAGAAGCAGCACATGATGCTTTGGTGAACAGAGAAAAGGAGGGGGTGAAGGCAGAGCAGATTCATCCTTTCTTGAACTTAACTTTGTAGCAGATGTACTGTGGTCACAGGCAAGCAAACAAGGGAGAAGGTCTTAAAGTACAGAACAAGTAGATCAGATGCAACACCCCCAGTGTCTGTGCGGCAGATGAGCCCTTATGCTTTTGGAAGCCAGCCAAACCAGGGCCTTTCATGATCTTCCCTCTCCCAGCTCCTCTCAAAACGGGTGTCTAATTGCTGGGGTTTTGGTGGTACAGTCCAGAAAATAAGCAAAAATAGAATACTGAACTAAATGAACTCATCCTGTGGGAGATTTCTATGCTGCCTCTTTTTTTTTTTTTTTAGCACTGTGCAATTTGAACAGTACATAATTGCTGCACTACTGGTAAAGGCAGGTCGTTTATAGGAAAGAAAAGTGTAGTTTTTGAGTAACAGTGGGAAGCTGAAGACACAAAAAGGTCTGAGCATTCACAGTAGTTATCAGCCGAGCCTTGCTCACAACAGTACTTTGATTGTCACAAGCATTGACGATCCCTGCTCCCACCCGCAGAAACTGCTTCCTGACCAGATTACAGCAAACTTGCTACACAACGATCCATCGTTCTTGAAGAGAAGCAAAGAGATGTCAGCCAGCAACAAGCTGAGCCCACAAAGGAAAACTGGAATAAGATAAATGAACTACACCTTCTGTGATGTCCAGCAATAGCAGAGACCTGCTAAACTGAAGGGTCCTCATGTGCCCCTAGTTGTGGGATTACCGCAGGCGTGCAAACCTGCAGCAGCAGAGTGGAAAGAGGCAGCCAAAAGCTGGAAGGGTCTTCAGTCAAGACCTGATGTACAGAAAGAACGGTGGCAACCCAGATTCTCTTCAGTGAGTGAGTGTAGAGTCAGCTAGCTGATATGACAGTGGATCAGAGCAGGAGTGCCAATCTGATCGGTGGCCAGAAGGGACAGATGCAATCAGGAGCTTTGAAACCACTGCAGCTAGATGCAGAAAAGCATGTCCTTCTAGGCTCTGGCCTCCTGTATCCCAGGAGAGCTCATTTATAAAACCTGGTAAAATACTCTGGTGTGTCTGAAAAGCAGAAACGAGTTCCCCTTAATTGCATATCCCTGGAAGTGTTCAAAGCCAGGTTGGATGGGGCTTTGAGCAACCTGGTCTAGTGGAAGTTGTCCCTACCCATGGTAGGGGGGTTGGCACTGGATGATCTTCAAGGTCCCTTCCAACCAAACCATTCTATGATGATATCACAGGACGAAGCCATGTACTGAATCCTTCCAATAGAAACTACTTAGTTCTCATTCTTGCTTTACAGATTCTTCAGGAATGTAAGTGTAAATGACTGAACAACTGCCCTGCTCTCATCTGGTCCCTCCTCAGCAGCAACAGGAATACAGGTTCAGAATCTACCTTCACTTTTGGGTTTTTTTTGCAAAACTTAGGTTGCTGGAGAAAAAAGAACATTTAAAAAAAAAAACCAAATCTGGGAATATTAAGCACCAATATTCAGTCTCTCTTTAAAGAGATTTTAATAAATTATATGAATCGATTTTATATTTGGATAATGAGTTCATCTCTATCATTTCACAGATGTGTGCTATTTAAGTGCTTCTGCAGAAAGATCATACATTCAAACATGGTCCTTGATTAGTCCTGCCTCATCTCCTATATTAGAAAGGGCAAAGTTCACAGGAAAAAAAAAAAAAAGAGAGAGAGAACACTGCCCTTTGTATTAGTTACCTCAAAAAATATCACAACCCATGATCTGGTATGGGTTCTGGAAAGCAAGGTGAATTCTGTTCTTGTCATGTGAACAACAGTTTGGATTATTAACTACGGGTCTTTAATTTCTGCTTTCTACTACCTGTATGTGTTACTCAGGAATAACAATTTGATTGTATCTAACAATCCCAGTTAGAGTTAAAAGAAGCAGCAGAACTAAGTCTGCTCTCCCATAGATTAGTGTACCTGGCACTGTCAGGAGCAGTAAGAGACGTTTCTTGCAGCTAAATTAACAGCTTGCATGAACATACACAAAGAGATAATCTACCACTGAAGATCAAGCCATTCAAAGTACATGTTCACAACATAACCATAGGAACTTGAATAGTGCCACCCCTACTATTTTTATTAACTTCTCCCCACTTTGTATAGCTCCTTTGCAAACCCATCCTTTGCAGATAACACACTGTAACCCAGTTTCAAGTTAGTGACTCAACCCAGCCCCAAAAAAACAGAGGACTGATGACACAGAGTTAAAGGATACCTTTTTAGTCCATCGTTTTACCCCATTATATCCTTTGGTTACGAGCTGTCTATGAAAAAAGCTGTTAAAGAAATGAACCTAAAAAAGAGAGACAGGAAGAATGAGAACAGTAATCTACATGCATAGTTGTTCCCCTTCCCCCAGGATAATTTATACAAAACAACTTGCAATGAGGCAATATTTAATGCAGGTTTAGAAACAGAACCCCAGTAGGGACAAACAGAGGCTTTGCCAGGCCTAAACTATTGCTGTTCTTCAGTAAACAAATAAAGCAAGCCTTATTTGCCTATAATACATGATATGAGGCACTGCAGCATTTATATTTACACTTTTGTATCTCCAGGCATATCATGTTTAATTTTTTGTTGGGGACAGACTTGGGAGAAAAACACCAGGATAAGGATTTACATTTTTTGTTGTTCTTTACAAGGATTAAGGAAAAGAACACTGGACTGGCAAAGTGGGAGGGGTGGTGAAGGGAGTAACTTCTGGTTTTAGTTGCTGGAAGCTCTGAGCCTCACAAAAAAAGAAAGAGAGATCAAAATAGGTATGAGATTTAATCCAACACCACTATCATTTGTATTCAACTACTATGACCAGCTCCAGAAAAAAACAATATTCTGCTATTTAAAAGTGTTTTTAAGTTATACCACGTCCATTTTGTAACTAAAACCTTACATTTATGGCAAAAAACATAGGCTTATGTCAAAAAAATTATTTAGCTCCAGGTTAACACTATTATTCCCTGTGCTTAGCTTCTTGCAATTACAAGAACAGATTAATACAAATGGAAATCTGCAACATCTGTTTTTAATAATTCTGCTAGTGCAGAGGTGGTAGAAGGCTTGAGTTATTACTTGGAAAAAAAAGTTAGAACGTTCAGCATCTGAAAACACAGTCTAACACCCATTAGCTATGCCAACAGACTTCAAAACCACATTCTGAGGTACCAGCACAAAACCTCCCATGAGGATTTCAATTATGCACTACGAAGAAAAAGCAGACACAAGCAAACAGATACAATCTCCAATACCACAATCCTAGCACACACTCAGGAAGTACAGAGAATACTAATGAAGAATCACCGTCACCACCAATCAAAGCAATTTTTCTTCTAAGCTTGAAGATTTTAAGAGTTACATTCTGCAAAGCTCATCTAAAAATGAGTTTGTTTGGTTCTTCCTTTGTGGTCTCACCTGAAAATTGTTCAGTTCTACTAGTAAACAGATGGCTTTTTATAATTGCCACTGCTGCAAATTTAGTCACAGAAGTGGGGGGCTGTTTTCTTGAATTTTTTTTTTCTGCTTTCTTTTATTCAACTGGCACCAACAGTTAGACACTGCAGTTGGAAAGCAGTAAGCATTCTGTCGAGGATGCACACAAAGAGTCCTGCGGAGTCAACAGTGCCAAGGAACCAAGCAGCTCTGCATCATTCACATTCAGCAGGCAGGCAGCTGACACAGTTTGAGCTGTTACGGCCCCCACAGCTATGAGGTGGGAAGGTGGGTGAGCGCAAGCAGCCATGTGCATGGTTCAGATGCTACCATTAATGGTTTGTCATCTCAGCAAAAATCCATCTTCGTCAGAAATTTCAGCTGAAACACCAGACTGGTGAGCAAGGGCATGGATAAAGCACTTTATAAGCAGACAAGCTGGAGACAGAAAGCTCCAGGGGAAAAAGGAGAGTGGGGTGGGCGAAAACAGGGCACCTGTCTTCTACAGGGACATCAGTAACATCAGCCTACCACAGAGACCACCTGCAGAGCTAATCCAGTAAGTTCCTGAAACAAGAGCAACAGCACTGAAAACTGTATTTTAGCACAGGAAAGGAAGAAGATTTGAGCAGCAGACAGCAACAAGTTATAATAGAAGTACTCAGAACATCATTCAGCTACATCTCGATTCTGTATCTCAAATATTCAGTGTTCCACCCTTCCCTCTCAATCTCTCATTACATACATTTGCATAATAAGAACAATCCTCACCTTTTCAGGGACTGCATCCATTACGAGTTCACCATACATGTTAATTATCTGTAAGAGTTAGTAAATATTTGAATATGTACAGAATAATTTTGTAAAACCCAAATTCCCAAGTTCCCATAAAACATAGCACCCTTCACACTTAAAACAGCAATGAAGAGGTGAGCAATTATAGTAACATCTTGCTGTAGTCTGAAGGACAAGCACGCTGGAACTAATAGTGGTTGGCCCGGAGAGAGACTGTAACTGGCTGCCTGAAGTCTGCCTCGATCTGAAATGCAGTTTAATTCAATTTAAGTCTACTGGTGCATGCCTTGGGCACCACAGCCTTCTTGGTTTTTTGGCTGTGGGCCACCGCCTCCTGCTTCACTCTGCTGTTCTTGTAATCTGCTCAAGCTTGGGGATGGGGAAAGATGTTAAAATCTATATGGGTAGCCACTATTTTCTCAAAATAGTGCAACATCATTTCTTCAAAAGGAAACAGTTTAGCTGTGACACCTCCCGTCTTCCAGGCTTGTAACCACTACTATTGCACCTGCCATTGTAAAAGCTGCTCACCACTTCTTTTACTTCTCAAATGTAAAGTAAGGATAGTCCACCTATAATGTAGCAGAAGGTGAACAACTGATAACCTAATACAAACGGGCTAAAAATGGATAAGGAAGCACATAAACACCAAGCATCTCTGACCTGGTCATTCAGCCAGTTCTGGCCTTCCAGTGTAGCTAAATCATCCATATCTAGCATGTGCTTATTATAGAAGACTCGGAAATTGCAAGCGGAGGTTTTTGGATGTTTTTCCCGGTACTTCATGATTTCCCTGGTGATAAAAGGTTTTCTAAAACAGGATTGAAAAGGCAGAAAAAAAAAAATACATCAAGGTCATGTCAAATGGACTTCGGTTCTGCTAGGTATTAGATTTGGAGCGTGCAGTAGCAATGCAAGCAATTTGTCCTTTACAAAGTCTAGAACTTGATACTGCTACACACCTATGGGAGAAATCTTCATTAAAGACTTCTTTTAATCTTCCCATGACATCTTTTTCACAGAGTGGTACTAAACTGCCATATTTCTTCATAACTTCATCTAGGAATCCTTTAAATATACCAGAAAAATGAAAGTGCAAACATACAAAAACACCCTTCTGAGTTCACTAGACCAATAAAGCAGTCATTTCTTCCAAGTATGAGCAGCAATCATTCTGCATCCAGCCAACACCACAGCACCACACATGGCAAGCATATATTTAAGAAAACTAAGCTCAAATTGGCAACATTAAATAAAAGCGGGGGTAGGGGAAAGAGGACAAAAATAAAAAAACAGGAATCTGATCACTCAGCTTTGCAGGAAAAGATCAGCCCCCATTCTTGCCATATATACACATATCTACACCAAACTAATTATACCAGTGCTACGGGGAGAGTCTGTCCCCCTGCCTATTTCAATCAGCATCTTAAATAATTTTACTGCAACATGAAAAGCCATCAGTTTCTGCAACAGCTTTCATTGAAAACCCAGTATATCTTGTCCTTACGGCATGCAGAATTACTCTCCTCAAATGTAAGCAGCCCTGGTTGGCAGAGTGTTTGCAGTCTGTTCAGTTCCTCTGCTGCCACTGCAGCGAAGAGGGAAGACACCAGGCAGACTCTCAGCAAGTTTAACTCATTTACCCTTGTATCCTAGGGATGGCATTTAAGGTGACATGGACAGCCACGACAGCCTGCTGTTGCCTGGGAAAGCACTGGGCAGCCATAACACCAGAAACAAAAAATATTAACTAGGAAATAATGAAGAGATGAATGCTGGAGGAATTAAAAAAACTAGGAAATAGATTTTTCTTCTTTTCTCAGACACAAGAATGGAACACTGGAGACATAAATCCCATCCAAGCACCCAAAACCACTTTGAGAATGAAAGAGAATGGAAATCAGGATTTCAACACTTGCTAGTGAATAAGAGAAAAGAAGACCAAGTTGTCCAGTTTTCTGAAAATGAATTTTCAAATGCAGCAGAAAACATGTGTTCTGTATACAGAAAGCTGGATCTGAGATCAGAGTCCAGGGAAATTGCACTAACTTGAACTCCAGGACTCTTCTCTGCCAGGGTGTGATGGCAGAGAGTATCACTGGACAGTGCAGTGGAAGTTCAGCTCTCTGCTTACTAAGGCTTTGAAAATATTTCCTGGAAAGTTTCAAAGATCAGGATGGGAAGAATCAATACAAGAGAAACATCTGACAGAAAAAAAGCGCCAGAAGAACAGCAGTAAGAAAGGAATAAAAAAAGAAAGGCAGGAGACCGAGAAGAAAACACAAATAGCAGAGCAAAGCAGTGAAGATACAGCAAGAAGTACACCTGGATGTGCGACAGAAGGAAGGCAGGATTGAAGAGCGAGATCAGACAACAAGGAAGCTTTCTTCCTGGGAAGATAACCTTCCTCACAACTCTGCCACTCATTTGCGTAAGAACTTTTATCCGTTATATCTTAGTAGGCTGTGTCAGGGAAGGTATTTCTCACTCTGGCTAGAAGTCTAGAGAGACAATGCATGGGGCTTATAAGCGTACCTTATTCTCTTTTTTTAAAAGTTTTTTATTCATACACACAGAGGAAGGATTGTTCTCATAGCTACAACTAACAGCAGCAGAGCTCCAGGAGACCTCTAGCTAGATTCTGACCTCACTTGGGCTGGCGTAACTGAATAACTCAAGGAGGAAAATACAAAGTTCAGACATGCTGCAAGATCAGACACTCATCATGAACAGGATTTACCATGGAGCTCTGTTTGATACCTAATAGCACATCAGAATGCACTAAATATTGCAGCCCATTAACATCTGAGTTCAGCTGCTGCAGAGAAATTCAAAACCCCAGAGCACTCCTAACATGTATCTCCTTCATGGATCTACCCTACGAACTCTTGCCAGGTTAACAGTATCTTTTAGGGTGCGGTTAATTATTAACAACACTCCTAAACAGACAAGAGCTCCTGTACATACTTACACCAAAATGAAAATTCTTTTTTACAGCTTTTCACCTGAGAAAACTCAGAATGGCTATACTATCAGTATGAATACGTATGTAGCGTAGGCTTGGCTTCAATCCTCAGAGAGGAACACTCAACTCTGAAGAAAATGGAAACTGGTCTCACCTACGTTCATGCAGAAGCTAGGTAAGAATCCTCTTAAAATTGTCACATGTGGGTAAGTTTAGCACATTTGCTGTCTTTTTATTTTTTTAAGTTAATCAGGCCTCTCATGAACAAGAACATGACTGCCTATCAGACCACAAAACTTTAACCTTTGTCACCCTGATACAGCCTTGGTTCTTGACTGTTACAGAGGGACTACATCCCTTTTTCTGCTGGACAAACTTTAAAACTCCATTGCAGAAGTGGTCTGTTCACTGCGGTTTCTCTCAGTTTCCACACAGCACCTAGTCCTTGCTGGATCACATCAAGCCAGCCATAGAGAAACGCATCCCACACTAACTTCCAAATATGGATGTGGAAAGCTAAATCACCTTTTGAGGTTCAATGTCTCCTTCTTCATGATTTGCTTTAGAGAATCAATTGCAAAATTGAAGGACAAAGAGGCGGGCAGAAAAATCAGAGCATGTCAAGCTTCAAACAATCCCTTTAACGCTGGTTGATATCAGCTTCAGATTTATGGGAATCTATGACGCCAGTTTCTCAACAGGAAGACTTCAGTTATCAGACCACCACTGAACGTGAAGATTATACTAATGGTACTAGGGAGCACAACGTGTTAGCTTACTGCTCTTTACCATGTTTATAGTAAGCTGCTATATATAAGACACCAATTACTATTTTTACCATGTACCTTTTTTGAGAGACTATCAAATACTGCATGCTCAGCACTGAGCAAAATCTCAAAGGCTTTTTGCCGAACCTTTGCTAAGAGTAGTCTTGCCTTTTTAAAAAACATTGACTAGTAAGATTCACTAAGCCTACTTTATGAACAATCATAGAGAAAACTAAGTGACAATGAACAATATTCGGCTATTAAAACCTGAGATTCATTAAGTGATTTAGTTTCAGTCTAAGACAGTGCAAGAGAAGGGAGGATAAGGCTGGAAGGAAGTATTAGAACAATAGGGATTTTCAAAAATCAAGTTAAGAGTAACAATTGTCAACCATTTAAGAAACTGGAAGTTTTAACTCCATATGATCTTCTGAAACCACATGATAAAAGACATTTAAAATGTCTATCAACAATTTTCCACAAAGATTCCAATTAAATTACACTGTATTCTCTAAAACTAAAGAGGCACAGGCACCATTCAACTATTCCTCAAAATAGCTCGTCAGATAAGCATTGATCTGTCCTTCCTTCATGCAGCTGTCCTCCTTGCAGCCTCATTTCATTAAGTGTTATGCTAAGCACCCCTTACAATTCACAATAAGAAACCATTTTAATAAAAGGAATTAACACAACACATAAACTCCACGATACATCCAGCAGTTTTCAGGAACTCCTGGAAGCCCTAAGATATGTAAAAGGTATACCACAAAGCCACGTTGCCAACTGCTCATCAGCCACCCGGGAAGCCTTCTGACTGTTCCTTTTGCCTCCCTTCTGAGTTCCTGATTTTAGTCCTGTGCTTTCTGGTGAAGGCTCATCAAGGGGACTTTTACAGTAAGGGTGATCTAGTAACTTTGCACTAAAAACGTCCCGGTTTAAAGAGCCCTCTACTTCCATTTGGCTAGAGCTGTCCTCATTTTGTGCCAGCTCCATGGATAAAGGTCCATTTGCAAAATTGTCATTGACATCAGAATCCTGCAAGGAGGATTGAAACAGTATCATTCCATCTACACCCATAACCTCAGGAGATTCTGTGTCATCTTGACCTGAAACAGCAATTTCTTTTCCTGTCACAGAGACGAAAATGCCAGAGCAATGATCCTCTGCCAGAGTCCCGTTGGTCTCCACCTGGTGCGAGGTCTCTGCCTCCAGTGAAGCTCCAGCATGCAGTTCTGGTGGGACAGCACCCACACTGCCATCCCGCCCACCGGATTCTGGCTCCTCAGGACACAGCTCAGCACACAGTAACGCATCCTGTGTATGGCAGATCTCAGGTGCGCATATTTCGTTCTCCACACCTAAAGATTTGGGTGTATTATTGTTCATATCTGATAAGCTGTACCGGTTCCAAAGACGGTTACTTTTAGATTTCCAGTAGGAAAACCAATTACACAATCTACTTTCAAAATCCCGCTGGAGAGTCTCTTGATGGTCCCTTGTAACTTCCTCCGCCCACCTTGGCTTGATTTTTCTCAATTTGCAGGTTTTGCCTCTTGCTCGGAGTTCCGGGGATTTTAGAATTCTATACCGAAACCTAACCATAGAAAGCTTCTTATGCATCATAAATAAAGATCTCTTTTTTACAGTATGATGGTTAAATTTGGACCTCTTTATAGTTGTCAAGGGGACACAAGTTCCATTCCACTCCCTTTGCAACAGCATTTCCTTTTATAGTTGTTTAAACTACTAGGACTGTGTTGCCCTCACCATTATTGCTCTCCTCCCCGCTATATACAAAACCACCTTTCTTTACAGGTAAGGCAGCACCATCCAGCGTACCACATGAGACATCATGGATATTGACAGAGATGCTATTAAGAATAGCGACAGTTTCAAATTCTTCATTCAAGGGAGCTTCACTCTGAAAGGATTAATTGTTGAGTTTTCTTACTGCTTCTCCAGATGGGCTTTCGGCTTTGCAATAGGGACAGGATCTTTTTGCTCTCAGTAGTTTTGTAAGGAAAGCTGTATGGTTCAACAGTAGGTTTTTGACAGGTTTCTGCATTTAGAGGCACATTAGGAGCCCCCCTGCTTTGGAGCTCAAGTGCCTTCCTTCTGCACTGCAGTCTTCTGTACGGTTTGTTGTGATTTAAGATCACAATTAGCTGAGCACTCTGTCTTTTCTTCTTAGCTAGGAAAAATTGCTTTTGGAAGCAGTATTTCCTTAGCTCCCCAAATCCAGTAGTCCATCTTCTAGACTGGGCCAGCAACTGACTTCTTTTCCAAAGCAAATGTCTTCTGTGGTTTTTCATTTTTCTGCTGCATTATGATCTTGAAAAACAGCTGAAAGAATAAGGGAAATTAATTCAGAGTTATCTGGACTGTAACATAATAGCAAAACACTAAGGCACATTCCTCAGGCAACATGCCTATCTAAAATTCCACCCCTCCTCCAAACACAATCCCACATTCCCTAGGACGTTCTCACTTGCACCAAAAGGAAAAAGCAGCAATAACTGCATGGCTTGGTGCGTAAACAGGCTCTTCTCATTTACCTTCCCTTGAGGTAAAGCAATAAAAAGGTAATCCCCATCCAGCCCACTCTCCCTATATGTAATTTCTGACTCTCTAGCCTGAGGTTAAATCTCTCTCAATACCCACGTTGTAGAGCAACCACAGCTAACTAGCTTGCCTCAAAAGGCTTTTGAAAAACAAAAAACTTTGAAGTCCAAGTTAGTCAACACGAATGTGCAGGTACTCGACTCCATCAGCATTGTGCAAAGCGAACGCTTACTCTTGTGCAATAAAAGTTAGCAGGCACTCTGAAGACTTCACATCCTCACACAAATTCTCCCCTTAAAGGAACAGCAATGCACATACTGCCACAGAAATTTTGATTCTCTGACTAGATAAAGAATGGCACAGCTTACTCTGTGAAGTGGTTCTTCTATATTTACAGTAACAGCTCACTCCACATGACACCACCACCATCAGCTTCTATAATCAGTGTTTATCTTTGCATTAACAAATCAATATCAAAGCAGGACACAAGTTAATCACCTTAAAAATCCCCTTCCTCACTAAAAACCTGCATCTCAAAGTGTGCAGTAAGGATATATCTGAGACTACACGAGTGTAAAGCCTGCATAGTAATACCTATTCATCTTCACTATGTAACTAAGAATTAATAAAAATATTAATTCAAAGGTAGAAGAATCCAGAAACACAAGAGGAAGGCATCAGCTGCACACACAATATATGATGTTTCACGGAAACTGCCCCAGCCTCACCAAGTACATAACATCCTGTATTTTACAACAGTTTGTATTTTTCTTAAATTCAGAAATGGACTTTGCCCCTCTCCTCTATCCAATCGATTCTGATTTACATTCTGACTTACTTGACTGTAACAAATTTTCCCTTAGCCATATCTGTCCCAAGCATTACCTAAATGCATCACCTAGCTGAAAATAAAGAAGCCTATAAATGGAAATAAAACATTAACAATTGGACTTCAAAGGCAAATACGAATGCTAGACACCTGCAAAAACAGGTATTCAAAGTCTGACTTAAGAAGCTCTTCTGCATTTTTCACTCTACTTATCTTAGACATAAACAGCAGCTGGCATTTTCTTCATTATTTTTTTTTGTGGAGGAGTGGGAGGGGAGTAGAAATTCAGAGAGTGTGAAGAATATAATTTAGCACTTGGGTAAGGTATTCCCACCATACAGAAAACAGTCCAGAGTTCACTACCTACAACCTAGAAAGGCAGCCGGCTACCTCCACCAACAGAAATGTGCAAGACAGTACAGCTTAACAGTATAAGCACTGCAACAGGGTTTAGCTTTTTTCTAACCCTCTACTAGTCAGCACGCAACATAGTTATCATAAAAAACAGGACACAGTATCTCATCATGCCAATTTTCTCATACTTGCTCTTCTAGCACATATTTCTCTACACTAGATCCAGTTTATGCCTGCTTTGACGCTACAAACTCTACATGTCTCTCTATTGTGTGCAGCACCTACAAAACATTCTTTGAGTGGCCCCAGTAAGCACCAGCCAAACCACAGTCTTGCTAGGACAGCTTATTCCAGCCACACTTCCATCCAGGTAAAACAAACCAACCCAGCAAAATCACAGCGTTCTCAACAGAGCCACGTACACAAGGGGTTTCTGCCAACATAGCGAGTCTTGAGTACTGTAAGAAGAGCACAGCACACGAAGGTAACGCTTTCACTGCTTCTCAGTCTCAGCAATACGTGCAATTGTACCTGCCATTTTTTAAGAACACTCCTGAATGATTTGGAGTCATGGCTTTTCTCCTTGCTCTCTCATAGCAGCAAAGTCCAACAAGAAGTATTCCCTCCGTGGGCACTGCCTCAGACATGGAAGAAGGCTGAGCGACCACTGGTTTTCTGAACAGCCGTGGATCACGCGGGAGCTGAAACACCTACAGCTGCCATTGTTTCACCCACAGCAGACTGAACTAACGATCACAGTGGGAAAAATACTGAACTAGATTTTAGCAAAGATAAGTCCTGACAACAAAAAGAACCAGAGGCAAACTCAAATTGAGACACAAGAGTGGTGCCACAATTTCAATGCAATCAATTGCAACAGCAATTGAAATAGCTCATTTGCTCATTAGTGTCACGAAATCCAGCTTCTTAAACTGCAACAAAGGAAGATCTTAGGAAAGCTATTCTACCCACCTGTTCTTCTGCTTCATTTTTAACTGAGATCATTAAAAATTGCTTCACATTATAACTTAGAGGATTAAAAAATACTTCATGTTTGTCTGTGATGCACACACCAATTTCTCCACATTGAAAGTTTTTGCTGTACAAAATGTTTCTCCTTAAAATGGGAAGAAAGTTCAACCAAGCCATTTAATCCAAGCAAACTTTTCCTGCCCTCCCCTCTCCCTTTTCGAACATAATCAATTTTGAGTCTGGATCCCTTTAAAGCAAAGGCTTCCAAGGAGCAGTTAATCCCAGTCCTAGGAGCTGAAACAGTTCACTTTTCTAATAGCAGTATTAAAGTGATAAAAGATACTCCATACGCAAATATTTAATTAAAGGTGTTGCTTGAAGAATTTATTTTCCAACAGTGCTACAAGAGTATTACTGGTTTTACTTGGCAACATAAATCAGTAAGGCAAAAGGACAGCTTAAAAGTGCACTGCTAGAAAAGGAACTGAAGTGAGCAACATTAGACCAAAAATAAAGCAAGCACCACCCAAAATTTAAGAACCTGAAGAGAAAGTCACATCTTCGCCCCATACATTGACACAGATGAAAAGCCTCTGAAGTCGAGGAACTTGCACCATTAAGAAAGTCATTTGGCTAGACAAGTCATACCTCCACTGCACAGGGATGCTGCCAAGACTACACCAGCAAAATCTTAAACCCAAAAATGCCCAAGATGTACACTTCCCAGAGATCACAAGTGAAAGAAATTTACTGTCATTAGTCCTCACCCCTTCAGCTGTGTTTGACATTCCATCTGCAAATAAATATTAAATATTAATAATAAATATTAAAAGGCACAATCTTTTTTGCACTGGACAAAGACAACCCTGAACTGTTACAGTTCTGTACTAACGGCAGATTCTGGTCATAAATTTGCTTTGTACTCCAAGCTTTTAGATACATATTTGGGAGCCACTCAGTTTTCAGAATAGAGACTTAGCCCAAGAGCTTTGGTAAACTACAAGCAAGCATGACTCTGCATCAACTTGACGTAAAGCTGGCCCCAAATCCACTGAACACCTACACAAGAGGAATGGAGGAATGCGAGGCCCTTGATCCTTTACTGAGTAACAAATTCAGCACAGATACATGCTGTATTTTTGTTACAGCAATTAGCAGCTCACTCCATTTGCAACTTAGATGGTTGCAGCTTATGTCACCTTCATTGAAATTAAGTACCGGAAAAGACACTACACATCCACACTTTTCACCAATTTTAAGCCCGTTAGAGCAGTTTAACCACTAATTAGTCCTTGGCAGTCCTATTTATTTTTCGCAGGTTTAGAGAGCCCAGGTTTTAACTGAAAAGTACAGAAATAGGAAAGGCTGGAGTCCCAGCCAATGCTGCTCACAAGACTGTAACCAAAGGTTTCTAGCTGACACCCGAAGTGTCAGAGCACAGAAACCTTTGGTCCAGGCGCATGCAGAACAAACCCACAGCACTGCAGCAGGGCAGCTCCTTCACACTTAGATCACCACAAGCTATCTGGGGCTGCATCCAGGTGGCCAGCAGATCAAGAGACACATGCAGCTGGTGAGTAATCCAACCTGCTAACTCTTATGTTGTGGGTTTTTTTTTTGGCCCCCGACTGCCCAAATTTTAAGACTGCTATTCAAAATATAAAAGAAACTTGTTTTGAAGAGCATCAGTAACGTAAATAAAGCAAGAAGCTTTGGGAACATGGCCTTGTACGGGCATGAGTAATTCATGCATCACCTGCTCCCATGGGAGGCAGCAGTTCTTGCAACACCCAGCGAGTCCAGCCTTTCCCAGTGGAGATCTGGGGCTGGCTCTCAAGGACGGAAGATAAGCAGGAACGAGAAAGCAGGTCTGAGATTAGAGAGCTGGGATATGCTGTGCAAGAAGATGCCCTCCCCCCGCTCCTGCAACCGGAATACCAAATTGGAAAGAGAGAGAGGAAGCTGGGGAAGGGCATCTCTATTCAAACCACTGCGTGGCCAGAAC